CTTAATTATGTACAACCAAAGTACGAAAATTGAAGAAATATACGCAATGATGAAAACCATGATGAAGAATTGAACACCCTTGTACACATTGAGAAGCTATTAAAAGCTGTGGAGCAAGATGTTAAGGATTTGAAAACCTCTCTTGAATATGCTCATTTGTAAGTAGTCGACATAAAGAAAGAATTTGAAGAAAATGAAGAAGTTATACTGGAAGTCCAAACCAAAATCCAAAATATAGAAGAGACAAACCGGAAACTTCAGGATAGCATAACAGATCTGAAGGCCCGATCAATGAGGGATAATATTTTATTCTTTAATATATCTGAGGATGAAAATGAAAACACGACCGAAACTATACACGATATACTGGAAAACCAAATGGGAATCGAAGATGCAAAAAACCGTGTCAAAATCGACCGCTCTCACTGACTTGGCAAGCCAACACATCCATCCATCCGACGCACGAAGCCCAGACCGATTGTTGCCAAATTCAACTTCTTTCAAGACCGCGAGGTCATTAGAAAAAATGCTAGAAAGTTAAAAGGAACACGTAGGAATTTCAGAACAACCAGTCTAGATATTGCCAACTCTACAATCAAAATGAAAAAGGCCAAAGCGCAAGGTCACCGAGTTTGGCCGGTTCAAGACAGATTATATATAAACAATGCCGAGTTCAAACCTTCCAGTTAAGTGTCATTATTATCAATCGCTATATATCACCCCTATTATTTTACTATTTATCTATAAGTCGATATGGCTAATCTATCATTAGGTAAGAAAAAATGTTTTTCTTGTTTTCTTGAAATAAGTAAAAATCATAAAAGTATAAATTGTCTTACATGCGGGGGTTGGATTCGCGCACGCACTTCATGCATAAAATCACCTCTTGGATGTCAACAAACGGAAGTTGATATCTGCAACATGTGTTTAAGTTGCGCGCTTCCCTTTTACTCAATTGACTTAGATTGATTTAGAATTAAATTTTATTCTTGGTGATTTCAATCGAATTCCTAGCGATGAGGATTTGGATAGACTAACACAACTCAAATTTAACCCTTTTGATACCAACTACAGAATTTCAAACTGTCCAAATTATGAGAGCTATATGTCCGAAAATTTTGATAGTTTAACATGCGATTATATTTCCTATCAAACGAAATTAGCTCGCCTATAAACTCCAACATTAGTAATTTCAATTTTGTTAGTTCCAACAGAGCAAAGAAAAAAGGTGGTGGAGTAGGGCTTTATGTTTCGAATAATTTAAACTACAAAATACGAACTGATCCTAATATGTACGAAGAAGGAATTATTGAATCACTTTTCATAGAAATAATCTCAGGAACAAGTAAAAATATTATTGTCGGTACTATCTATAGACCACCAAGTGGCAATTTTGAAATTTCTGAAAACAAGTTTAATGAAATTTTAACTAAAGTTGATAAAACAAACAAAATAACTTATTTGACCTTTTGAAATCTGATATTTGCGAATACTCAAACAGATTTTGTGAGCAACTTTTTACATCTTCTTTCTTTCCGCTTATAAATAGATCAACTAGGATTACCCAACATACAGCAACTTTAATTGATAACATATTTAGTAACGATTTAGATCAATTGGAATTTAGCATAATTGGACTAATTTTCTCATATATTTCGGATCATCTTCCTATATTTCATTTAGCTTCTTTGTCCTCAAATACTGACGTTTCAGAAAAAGGAAATAATTCACACTACAATAGAACAGTCGACAAAGATAGTCTTGCTTCGTTTTTAGTTTCTGTCAAAAATATTTCTTGGGAAAGTACTTATCAAACAAATGATGCATGTGAATCTTATAATAACTTTCATAATAGCTTAAAAGTAGCAATTGATAAGAGTTTCCCTTAGTAAAAATGAAACGAAAAGCTATTGACCACAGAAAAAGTCCCGGGATGACAGGTGGTATTTTGAAATCTATATGCAAGAAAAACCAACTTTATAGAAACTCTTTGAAAAAGCCATCCTACAAAATTGAAATGAAATATAAAAAATACAAAAACAAATTGAATCACTTCATCAAAGCAGCAAAAAAAGCCTATTATGAGAAACAATTTATAAAACACAAAAATGACATAAAAATGACATGGCGAACAATCGATGAACTACTTCATAGAAGTAAAACTAAAATAAAAATGCCTGACGCGTTTCTAAAAAATTCCTAAGGACAGCAACACATCATTTGAAAGCTACCTTAAAGGCAATTATGTTGAAAGTATGTTTACTGAGCCTGCAACCGAAAATGAATTGCTAAATGAAATTATTAATTTAAATGAAAATAACAGTGCAGGCCACGATGAAATAAATGCAAAAATGATAAAACAATAAACTCTGAAATACTTAAACCTCTAACTTACGTCTATAATTTAACCTTCCTTACAGGGAAGATTCCAAAATTTCTAAAAATTGCTTTGGTTACACCTATTTTTAAAGCGAATGAGAGTGATCTTTTTGAGAACTATAGACCGATTTCGGTTTTGACTTGTTTTTCAAAATTACTTGAGAAACTTATGTATAAACGACTATATAATTATGTCGAAAAACAAAAAATACTAACTAAACATCAATATGGATTTCGCAGAAATAGATCTACTGAACATGCCATTCTAGAACTAACCGATAAAATTTCTAATGCAATGGATGAAGGAAAATACACAATGGGTGTTTTCCTTGACCTTTCCAAAGCTTTTGATACAGTGAACTTTGAAATTGTTTTTAAAAGGCTACAACATTGTGGAGTCAGGGAATTTGTCTTGAATGGTTTAAAAACTATTTGCATGGGCGAACTCAAATTGTGAAATTTAAACATCATAGGTCAATTGAAATGAATGTTACTACAGGGATCCCACAGGGTTCAATTCTTGGTCCATTGCAATTTCTTTATATATAAACGACATCGAAAACTGTAGTGATATTCTTTCTTTTGTATTATATGCAGATGACACGAATGCTTTCTATTCAAACTCGTGCTTGAAAACCTTATCTAGTACTATGCAGAATGAAATGAACAAAGTAGTGAAATGGCTCAATGCAAATAAATTATCGATTAACTCTTCTAAAACTAAATTTGTAATTTTTAAATAAAAAAATAAGTTATTGAATACGGAAGTCACATTGAAAATAAATAATAATTTCCTTAAGCAAGTCATATTTATAAGGTTTTTAGGTGCTGTAATTGACCAAAATTTGACTTGGAAGAACCATATCAGCTCAGTTCTCCAAAGCGTTATGAAATCTACAGGTCTGATTGCAAAATTAAGACATTTTACGAATAGAAACACCTTAAAATTAATTTACTATGCATTAGCTTATCTATACCTCACGTACGGAAATCTAGTTTGGGGAAATACATATCCCACAAGATTGCAAAAGTTAATGAATGTCCAAAAGAAAATTGTTCGATTGATTTGCTTCAAATTTTATACGGATCACTCCGAACCATTATTTTTAGACATGAAAATTCTGAATATCTGCAAAATTTATGACTATTTATGTAGTATATTCATGTCTCGTTTTAATTATTGTCAAAATTTACCAGACTTCTATAGTAATTACTTTAAGCAAAATAATGAATTTCACAGCTATAATACACGTAATTCCACCAAGTTACACGTTAGCTATACAAAAGAACGAATTACCGCAAATCTACTGTCTTCAACAAAGGCGTCTCTCTATGGAATAGTATTAATGAAGATATCAAAAAATACGATTTCATATTTCTCTTTTAAGAAAAAAGCAAAATTATATTATTTAGTATCTGATTGATGTAAATATTGTAAATTACTCTATCTCTTTTGTCTTTTCACTATTATGTCTGTTTGTAAATAGTATATTGCTCTTTATTCATGGCTATTGAAAAATAGGGGCCTTACGTAAAAGTCCAATTGGATTTCCAAAGGTCCCTAGCCCTTTATATTATTATATTCTCATATGCTTTGTATATATATATATATATATATATATATATATATATATATATATATATATATATATATATATATATATATATATATATATATATATATATATATTGTCCTACCAGTTTCACATACAACGTTTTAATTGTGGCAACGATATGTTTTTTTTCCCGATTTGCAAGTCTCGCAATTATTAGGGCGACTTATTTTTTACTTTCGGTGGGGAAACCTCTGTGATGACGACTTCCCGTTCAGAAAATGGATTTTGATATTATTTAGTCCCGATCGACGGACTACAGCAAGAGAGCGTCGTTTAATCTCCTCGTTAATATAGGGTAGCTTCATATAAATGCAATTCTCCTGATCGTTAATTCTCGGTTGATTGTGTTATACACGTTGAATGGAGGCTCTAATAAATGATTTGGGGTAGACATTTCTAGCAAACACTTGGGTTAGTCTACGCAAGGATTTTTTTCGTTTATTATCATCTGTTGAGCGAGAAACGGCACGGTTTATTTCGCCGATTAAAATAGCTCGTATAGATGCGAGGGATCCGTGACTGTCCCATGGAACGATGCAATTGCTGTGGATAGGTTTTATGTAGAGTTGTGTCGAAAAGTTATTCGTTACAGGGTTGAATGTAACCATAGTATCTAGAAATGGCAATTGCCCTTCGTGGGGCTAAATGGGGGATTATACCATGTAATATTCCTGCGTCTAGATCTTCTCTCTGTAGCTTGGTTGTTGGTTGCTATATATATATATATATATATATATATATATATATATATATATATATATATATATATATATATATATATATATATATATATATATATATATATATATACATATACATATATATATATATGTATATATATATGGAATATAAGAACTTCTAAGTTTGTTGAAGAAGGACGGAATATACTAGCTTATCTGTTGTTCGACTCGACTATCTTATCTGTTGATTTAACTCGATAAGTTACTTTATCTGCTTAAGGTGTCTAATTAGGTATCAAGAATTGTATAATATTCCAATAATCAAAACAAACTGATTTCAGAACAATTTTAACCCATCATCATATCATGTACATTTGCATGATATCGCAGATATCTCTAAGAGTATTAGATAACTGCCTCATTGCGTATTTTATTTTGTCAGAATATTATTAATAGTTCAATTGTAAATAATTTTCAATCTTTAACGTGCATATTCATGCAGCACTTACTGCATTGCATGTAACTAGCATGTATGCAACTTTTTAGCGTTATAACAGCACATTCAGAAAATTCCCAATTCCCGACAACTTCATCTGAGCCACGAAATGCTAAGCCACGCTCACCCAGTAAGCTAATTGTAAAATTCAATCTGGACGAATTGAATGTCAGATTTGAAACCAACGACTTCGATTTTTTGTAAACGGGGATTAAGTATAGATGCTTGTAGTCTCCTTCGCAGACGTTCTTATTGCTCCAATCTTCGCTATAACAAGAGTCCGCTGAACTGAGCTACTGTACACATTCCAATTCCCTCGCATCCATCAATAACACATACCTAAGTTTGAGGTTGTCTTCTTATCGGCGATGATTTATTCTAAGGCTGTCATTAACTTTGGAAAGCCCAGTTCGAGGCACCACCTTACAAAGACAATTCTGTTCCTCAACAGTAACTGGTTGTATTAAAGAGATTGAAGAGCCAAGAGAACTCAAGACAGTGAACCACTGCACATTTTGAATTTCGATTTTGTACTGTGTATTTAATATTGAACAAATATGTTATTAATAACTATACGTTTAACGTTTTCATTTCAAAAAGTCATGGTATTAAAGAGAAAGCAAGATACATTTTATACCTATTAATTTAATATATTAAAGGTTGAAATGAACCATTTGTAAATTTGCTTAACTTGTCCTTATTAATAAATTGTATGCATTTTGTTTAGCTGATTTATCATGATCATGGCAGTTAAATGTTTTAATACAACGTCCAACAAGTCAACTACAACGCTATATTGTTTCTTGAGATTTGTTTTTAAAATCGGTAGGTAAAAAAAACATGAAGTTCAGAGCAAAAATAAGTGAAAATATCATACGGAAATATATAAAACCGCGCAGGGGACTAAAACTGACGTCCAACAGCTTCCTCAATTTCCGCCATCCTTGATTTTTTTTTTTGCTTCACTTGGCCTACTGCCAAAACATTAGAAGTTCTTATTCCATATATATATATATATATATATATATATATATATATATATATATATATATATATATATATATATATATATATATATATATATATATATATA